GGAGCGGTGGCAAAAATCAACTAAGAGGAACAAGTAGACAGAAAATGGAGGACACATTACAGATCATCTGGTGGTATGACAGGTTGAACATGTAGGCAACAAGAAATGTATACATAATTTTGGTGGGAAAACTTCTGAATAAAAAAACACTTCAAAATCTACTGTTAGGCAGAGGATCTGTAAGGATGGAACTCGTTTAGAACCAGACCAATGGCAAGCTTTGGCATTGGTGGTGTTCAGCCTGTGAGTTCTGCTAACCCAATGCCAGTCAATAACTTAATGGTGCATCACACAAAGTTTCAGAAACTGCCTTAAAATATGTCTGTTTGGCGAATAAAATCATATAAATTAAAATTACTAAGCATTATTTCCATAAAACACATTAAATTAATGTATTATGGGAAGTTAGCACATTACATTTCTGAAACAACTGAATGCAATTTTGGACTGGGGTGTCAAAACTAAAATTTCTTATGACAATTTAATATTGATTCATACAAATCCAATATAAAACTGCTACTCTGCATTAAACTCAAACCAAACTTTATACCTTTTCTAAAAAACGTTTTCTGGGTGTGGACTGGATTCATTTGGCTCAGCATAAGGACCAATGGTGGGCCCTTGTGAATATAGCGGTGAACCTTCTGGTTCCACAAGATGTAGAGAATAATACAAAATGAACACATACAAATGGCTGCGTGCACCATAATTTTCTTCCTCTTAGGTCAAAATTCTCTTCTAAATACTCTCAATATGTGTTCTTCCTTTAATATAAAGACCAAGTTTCATACCCATACAAAACAAAAGTTCAAACTAGAGTTATGTATATTCTAATCTTGTCATTTTTACATGTACTGCATGGTAACAGATACTTCTCAAATTGTCAAAGGATTTAATAGTTACCATTACATAATGATGCTGTCCCACAGTCTGGTGACAAGACATAAATAAACACATACTTAGATTTCTCTGCATTTATTTCTGGACCAAAATCCTTACTATCATCAAACAGAGTTGTTTTAACGTTGAATAACGTTTATAAAATCACGGTACACTCGACAAAGAACGGTTCTAGAGTGAGTGTGTTGAGTACATGACGCAACACATAGATAGGCTGTAGGCGGATAATGTCACGTATAGATAAGATGTAAAGGTATACATTAATGTGTGAATAAAATTATATTTCAGTACAAATATACTCCTCCTCCTCCTCTTTAGCACTACGGCCCTTTCAGTGTAGCCTTGGCTTCTCTTGAGATCGATGTCCAATCTTCCCTAATACAAATATACTTCTACAATTAACCGTTATTCAATGTTAACTAGGGAACTGTGGTTCCACTGTCAATTTTTTTCTCTTTAAGGTATGCCTATTTATGTTTCTGCTCAATAAATTAATATTATCAGCACAGATCCTGATCCTAGTACTATTATGGCTATGACAGAATGGGCCATCCAGAATTTTGGTAGGAAATCTCTTGAAATATGTCCACCTGTAAGACAAAGGATATGAAAAGTGGTTCATGGCAGGACTTAATATCAGAGCTCTTGAAACTTAGGATTCTGCTACCACGATGTTAAATATGATTTTTGTTTGAAAGCGCTTCATTATGGGGATAGTTACAGTGAAATGTACATGTTGCAGATGGCTCTGGTGGCAGTACTGATGTTGGCCATGCTAACAGTGGGGACACTGTGTAAGCCTGTGCCTGGCGATTGGGACCACAAGATAGACATGGGGCAGGACTCTGATGAAGTTCAACAAACTGAAAACCTGTATACACACCACGAACAAAATAAAGATTTTGAGGATTTTGGGCAAAATCAAAATGAACAACAAGACATTGAACAAGTAGGACACCAACACCAGGAAACACAACATGGGCACAACCAAGAATTTGAAGACTTTAAACAAAATCAAAATGAACATGACATCGAGCAAGCAGGAAATCAATATCAGGAAACACACCATGGACACAATCAAGACTTTGAACAAAATCAAAATGAACAAGACATTGAACAAGTGGGACACCAGCACCAAGACACGCAACATGGACAAAATCAGCAGTTTGAAGACTTTGAACAAAATCAGAATGAACAACAAGACATTGAGCAAGTAGGACACCAACACCAGGACACACAACATGGACAAAATCAGGAGTTTGAAGACATTGAACAAGTAGGACACCAACACCAGGACACACAACATGGACAAAATCAGGAGTTTGAAGACTTTGAACAAAATCAGAATGAACAACAAGACATTGAACAAGTAGGACACCAAAACCAGGACACACAACATGGACAAAATCAGGAGTTTGAAGACACTGAACAAAATCAGAATGAACAACAAGACATTGAACAAGTAGGACACCAAAACCAGGACACACAACATGGACAAAATCAGGAGTTTGAAGACACTGAACAAAATCAGAATGAACAACAAGACATTGAACACGTGGGACACCAACATCAGGACACTCAACATGGGCAAAAACAAGAATATGAAGACTTTGAACAAAACCAAAATGAACATGTCGGACCCCAACACCAGGAATCACAAAATGGACAAAATCAAGAATTTGAACAAAATGAAAATGAAGAAGATATTGAACAAGTAGGGCAATTTCATCAAACTTCAAATGAACAGGAATTTCAACATGTAGGACAACATGAAAACGATAAACAATTTCAACAAAGTCAACATCACGAAGACACAGAACATGCTGGACAGAACCATGAATACGTTGGGCAAACTCAGCAGAATGATGATGAAATAACCCAGCTGCTGGGGTCTGAGAAATATGGGGGGCAGCAACATGACCACAATCATGCAGTTGAACATGTTGTTTCAAAGCAGCGGTATGGAGAACTGGGTTTTGAATTTGTGTCAACTGAGAAGCCCAGTTGGTGGAAGAGACTTGGCAACAACATCTCCAATACATACGAGACAGCAAAAGACAAGGCACATGGCATAGCCAACAAAATTAAAGAAAGAATAGGTTAAAAAAAGGACGCAGTGAGTTTGAACATGACTAGACATCAGTCCTCAACCAGTGATCTACACAGTAGTGTTATCTACACATTCCTGGCTTATAAAATCATAGGGATGACTATATTCACCATCTTGTTTGAAGAAAACAATCTTTCACTGTTCCTCACATAATAATTTCCGTACTTTTCTATTCTGAAAGTCACACATTTCTTGGCCATTGCCATGCATCAGAAAATATATGCAGTTTCAGCAGTGTGTGAGACAATGAATTTATAGTAATTCATTTGAATGGAACAGCAATATGTAGTGTGAATACATTGCAGTTCTCTGTAACGTTCATTATCTTGACAAACATAGAATGGCATTTTTAAACATAAAGTAACAAAACAAAATGTTTAATGTAGGAGGTAAACGCAATAAAGATAATGTCCTTCAAAGATGTCCATTTTCTTTAGATGTATGTACACAGACAACTGAAGAATATCGGGGAGGTAGAGTGTGGTGCCCTAACAAATCTCAACCATCACACTTTAATATGGAAGAATAATAGATCATTTAGAGGAAACTAATTGGCTGACAGACATTGAAAGCATGTAAAATTTGTGAACTGCATTTTAGTGTTCCAAGAATAGGATCCTAAAGGTTTTAATACTACTCTCACATCTTGTACTTATACAAATTTGAAATGTCCAAATTACAATAAAATTAGTTAACATAGAATAATATTTTGCGTGGTCTCTCTGTCAGTTTTCCATTTTCTGGAAAAAAAATTACCTCCAAAAAAATTGTATATTTACCTAAGATCACTATGCACACAAAATTTCAAGACTGAAAATGGTGCCAATACTGTGCACATGAGCATTACGCTAGCTTTGTTGATAACATGGATATCTTGAAAGGCATGATGTTCACAGAAACTGCCAAATGTCTGGGGGTGGGCAGACATCCAATACTACGAGGAAGAACCCAAGAACCACAATAATATTAAATACGTACATGATTGTAAAGCTCTATCATTGCAGTCTGCTTGAGTGAAAACTGTTAATGGGGACTCTGCACTAAAGACATTCTCTTATAAACATGTTAAGTAATATGCCTACAAATTGCTACATGACCTTCAATTTTGTCCCAAACTGTGTAGCGCTTCATGTTCATAAGGTTCAGAAACCTGTCGACCAGAAATCATGACACAAGTCCACGGTAAAACTAGGTCAGTACCTCAAACTAGACCATAGTTACTTCCACATCCTCCACAGTCAATGTTAAAGGAAACAGTACGAGTTCAGTTAATAAACCTAGTCTTATACACACACTGCATGATACCATTATTTTAATAAATTTCCATAAACAAAAAATCAATCTAGTTTGTATCAATTTTTTTTTGAACAGTTTTCCACCACCCCACAGCATAGCCAAATCTGCAATTTCTATTCTTTAAACAGCAGTTGTTAACACAATCATTTCACCAACTACAGGGAATATGCTGAAACTTGGTGAACATACTACCTTTTCACCCCAACTCATGACAGGAACATCGAAGATTGAACAAGAGTTTAGAATTTCAGGAAGTTATGAGTGAGCTATGCCTCCAGAATCCGGTTAATCGTGTACAAGATGCTGCACTGTGCTCATCCGGCACTACGATACTGTAAATGTGAACTATAAAGCAGTCACAGCTTATTTTATGAACCAAATGAAAACCAGACAAATTCAGTCAACATGAGCTTTTCATGCGGAACGTCCCAAATATGAAAGAGGAATTCCAAACATTGAACTGTCCCAGTCAGTAACTTTTGTATTTCTTTCTGCCCAGCCAATAGCCACTTTATCCCATGCCTGAGCAATCCTGGACCCATAAATATCCAAATGCTTCAACCAACAGTTACTTCATTCATCTAGTGTTCATTCAAAACATGTCAATACCTTAAATTAACATATTAAATATACATATAGGAGCATCAAGCAGCTTCATTCCAAAATGTACCCCACTTCAGTAAAAACCTTAATGACTTCACTCCAGTCCAGTTCCTGAATCTAACATAACACAGACAAGTGAACTGTATTAAAATACGAAAGTGACTGATACTGTTTTAAAATTACAAATCAGCACATCTCCAGAAAAACAAAGGCAAATACATTTCTACAGAACAACCTGTCTTAAAACAAATTCCTCAAATTACAGTTTCAATCCACCAATCTCTGACAAGCCATGTAGTTAGTGATTCTCGGTATGTTCTACATGTCTTACCTCTGGTAAAGATTTGAGGAAATTCACAAAACTTTTCTGCTGTGGAGCATCTGAAATATACAAACATACAGTTTTATTATTATAATAATAATACAAAACAAAGTATTCACCTAAAGAAATGATAAGCTACAAATAGATTTACCTATTACACACAAGAAAAATTTATCACTTATTTGTAAACAACATAAATTCATTGACAGAGTAAAAGGAGTGTGTAATTAAGTATCTTTTTAATGCTACCTTAAATTGCTCCTTCTTATTTACAAGACTTGTGAGATTTGATGGTAGACTGTTGAAAATTTTGATTCCTGCATAATATGCACTCTTCTGAAAGCATGAGAGGTTGGCAA